CCGGGTCCATCACATCCCGGGCCCGTTCCACCATCGTAGCACGATATTGTCCACTTTGGGCTTACCATTCCCTCACGGTTTTGTTTTTAGGAACTCACGAGCAACTTCCCAGTGGGTCACCCATCCTGGGAGTGCTCTCGTGCGCTACTCGCTTAACTTCCGAGTTCCGATGAACTCCAAAGCCAGTGAGCTCCCAAAAGGCCTCGTGTTAGATAGGGATGGGAATATACATTTAAGAATCACTCCCATGGACGATGTGAGATGTCCCAATCCACCCCTCTTAGGGGCCCGACTTCCTCGTCGGCACACTTCGAGTCAGAGACTGGCTCTGATACCAATTGTCACATCTCAGCCTGGGTCGGACCACTTCCCGGGCCCTCTCCGCCACCGTAGCACGATATTGTCTGCTTTGGGCTTATCATTCCCTCACGGTTTTGTTTTTGGGAACTCACGAGCAACTTCCCAGTGGGTCACCCATCCTGGGAGTGCTCTCGTGCGCTACTCGCTTAACTTTCGAGTTCCGATGAACTCCGAAGCTAGTGAGCTCCCAAAAGACCTCGTGTTAGGTAGGGATGGGAATATACATTTAAGGATCACTCCCCTGGGCGATGTGGGATGTCACAATCCACCCCCTTTAGGGGCTCGACGTCCTCGTCGGCACACTTCCGGCCAAGGATTGGCTCTGATACCATTGTCACATCTCGACCCGGGTCCACCACATCCACCACATCCCGGGCCCGTTCCACCACCGTAACACGATATTGTCCGCTTTGGGCCCCGACCACACCCTCATGATTTTGTTTCTAGGAACTCACAAGCAACTTCCTAATAGGTCACCCATCATGAAAGTGCTATGTCCACCTTCTCGCTTAACTTCAGAGTTTCGACAAAACCCGAAGCCAGTGAGCTCCCAAAAGGCCTCATGCTAGGTAAGGATGGTAATATACATTTAAGGATCACTCCCCTAGGCTATGTGGGATGTCACAATCCACCCATTTTAGGAGCCCGACGTCCTCGTCGGCACACCACGGCCAGGGTTAGGCTCTGATACCAAATTGTCACATCCCGGCCCAAGGTCCACCACATCCCGGGCCCGTTCACCACCATAGAACGATATTGTCCGCTTTGGGCCCCGACCACGCCATCATGGTTTTGTTTCTGGGAACTCACACAAGAACTTCCCAGTAGGTCACCCATCATGGGAGTGCTCTTGTGCGCTACTCGCTTAACTTCCGAGTTCCGATGAACTCCGAAGCCAGTGAGCTCCCAAAAGGCCTCGTGTTAGGTAGGGATGAGAATATACATTTAAGGATTACTCCCCTGGGCGATGTGGGATGTCACAATATGAATAAGATAAAAGAATTTAAATATAATTAATATGCAATTTATGAACGTGTTCAGAGCACACATCTAATCTAGAACACTAAAAGCAAGAATATAAAATTGAATGAATAAAGGAATGTGTGTCCTACACTGAGAGGACTCGAATATGCCGATGCGAAAGTGCCCTGACACCGGGATTGTACGCCTCGATTCTAAGTCATGAAGGGGGCGCAAAACAAACATGAGTGGACCAAGTTGATATATATATATATATAATAAAACAGTTATCAACATATTAACCCACAGGTTTTATGAAAACACAATATAGCATGATAAATAAAATAGGTTTTCCGAAACCTAGCATGTCGTGCAATGTCTCAATGGAAAGCTAGCCGTTAAAATAAACGGGTAAAATGACCCGACTCGAAATTGACCCGATAATATTAACAGGTAATATGACCCGACCCGTTACCCGTTAAGGAAAATATATTTTAAACTAATAAATAATCAAATGAAAAACATAATACTAAATAAGTATATACATACCATATTGTCACATCCAAAACATAAAAACGCATTTTTCTTTTAAGTATATATTTACATACCCAAAATAAGAGCATAATAAATAAAAAAACATTAGAACATTACAAAATATCAAATGTTCAAAAAATTTGCAAAATTAAGGACATTGGAAACTTGCACATTTTCTTTAATAGTTTTTTAATTAATGTAGAAGTGTAAAAAAATATAGAAAAAAATATATAAACGCTCGTAATGACAAGTTTTACAACTTTCATGAAAAGCTTAACTTCGAAATTCGCCACTATAATCATATAAATCATAGATCAAAATTTAACCATTGATTATTATTCACATTTACGCTTCATTTTTCTCATCAAATTTTGTTTTTTCGGATTTTCTTTTTTGAAAACATGATCTATTAGAGGATGCAGGAAGATGAAATGTTTGGATCGTTGATATTATGTTCAGAGTTTTACGGTTAGTGAAAATATTGCTTGATGTTTATAAAGTTTCTACAAACTATATGACATCGACTCATATTTCAGTTAATCGTAAATATCGAAACGTGATATCAAAGATCTGAACCGTTCATCTTCTTACATCTGCCAGATGATCATGTTTTCAAAAAAGAAAATTTTAAAAATGAAATTCAGTAAGAAGAATAAAGTGTAAATGATAATCGACGGTTAAATAAAAATTTAAGGTTTCTGGATTATAGTGTTGGATTTCGAAGTGGATCCCTTTATGAAAAGTCAAGGGTGGGCCCCCACCTTGGAAAAATACGAAAATACCCCTTTCGTTCCATAAAATTCGGAACAAGTTGTTACACATTCAATAATACAGGTTGGTGAATGAGGCGCCTCAAAGTGAGAAAAGCGTTACTGCATGCCCTGCCAGTGTCGATAGAGTAGGCCGGTGAGAACATCAGCTTCGAAAGCATGGTGGAATATTAACATATCGTGGAATTGTGTAAGTGCTCTTGTACATCGATCCTTCCTATAGGTCATGTTTTTGCGTGATTGTGTCGTCCCGCCTTCTGTATCTTGTGTTGTATGACTTTTGTCCAACTCGAACACAATCTATTCGACTAAAAGGCATGAGAAATATAAACCGAAATACTATACCCGTCTGTTTACGAAGAATATATGCATTAAATTTTTGACCTCAAATCAGCATTCCATACAACTTTGTCTCTCCTATGAAACTCAAGCCAGTTTCTTTTCAGTCATTGTCTATGTTACATTAGTTGCACAAAAAAGAAAATTTGAATTTGAGTACATAAAGTGACGCACACTACTTTAGATTGGTAGCTTTGATGCGATGAGCCTACGCATCTCAAGAAAATAGACTTGTTCTTGCTCTCCCAATTCAGGAAGACGGAAGTCGACAGTTGGGCTGGTCCAACCAAGAAAGGCATGGGGCAATCCAAGTCACAGTGGCCAATTTACTGGGAACTGGTCAAGTCATTAAATCGAAGCTTGCGCAACTTTTCGAGAGCCCGATCATCATTCAAGTGCTAGGGCCAACACAACTTTTTGAGGGCCCAGTCATTTAATCTCCTTAAGTTGGAGCTAGCGTAATTTTTTGAAATCCCAACTTAAGGAGGCAAATTTAAACCCAGTAAATCGGGCCAATGACGTGTCGAAAGAATAACCTTATCTGATATCATGTGAAACTTTATAGGTCTAAACATGGTCCACCACCAATATCACCAATGTTGTTCCAATTTAATCACTTATAATATTAGTTGGAAATTGCCTTATATTAATTGTATATTCTTTTTTACCAATGTGAGATTCTATTCTCCAACAAATATGACTTGGTTTATTAGCATTGTTTCGTCATAGCCTTGTGTAATTAGGGTTTAGCCTTTAAATATTGTAATTGCCTTAACTTTAGCGGTCAGGCCATATCACTATTTTTTGGATTATTCCAAGTTCAACGCAGGAATTTGAAATAATGCACTCGGATCATTTATAATTTTATTTCTTCTTCCTCAAACTTCTGCTTATATGTGAATCCCTGTGTCGTATTTATCGAAGTTAGTCTATAGACCAACAGGATCCTTTTCGGATATTCTTTGTGAGGATCTTGAGGATCCGTTCAATTTTTGTCATGTACTATTTGTGTTTAATTTTAAATAAATAAATTTAATATGATTTTTTACTACACGATGTATGATCAACGAACACGATTGACGGATTTTCAGGATCCTCACAAAGAGGATCCAGATTCGTGGATCCAGATTCGTCTATAGACTCTTTACTAAATATCATATTCATCTCTAGTCAAAAGTTAAAAATTGGGATGGCCCAAAAATTTCGACTTTAATTGTGTTGATCTCTTTTAACATTTGTGAAAATATCATATTCATCTATAGTCAAAAGTTGAAAATTGGGATGGCCCAAAAATTTCGACTTTAATTGTGTTGATCTCTTTTCACATTTGTGAAGCCAGATTGTGTTAAGGTATTACTCAATCCCCGCGCTGCGCATTTTCTCTCATTGGTTAAAAATGGTAAAAAAGATTGGGACTGGTAAACATTTTTATTCCAATATACCAACAAAACTGCTTCTCCCCATGGGAATTGAGACGATATGAACAAGTTTTAGAACCGGTTACAAATTTTTATCAATAATATAGTTGGGAGACACTAATATACAATATATGCAAGCGTACATAAACAACGGTATAGTGCCCTCCAAGTTCTTGAGAGAAATTACTATACGGTCACAGAAAGCTGTAGACATGTAAATTTTGGTGAAAATAAATGTTCACCAACGCATTAAATTTCGACATGCGAGGATTTACGTGACATGTATCATGTATCTAACAAATTGTACACATGGCATGTGACTTTTCAAAACCGGACGAGTCATCAAGATGACACGTGTCAACCCTTGGCAAAAATGAATTATTTGACTTACGTGACATATATCATGTATCTTGCAAATCGTACACATGATATGTGACTTATCAAAACCGGATGAGTCATCAAGAGGACATGTGTCAACACTTGGTAGAAATGAATTATTTGATTTAAATTTACATTTTTGATTTAAATTTACATTTAAATCAAATGAAAATATTGATTTTTTTTTGTTTGATTAAATCAAGTATTAATTAATTGAGCCAAATCACAAATCACGACCCAAGGTACAAATCAAGTCTTAGTTATTTCGTAGACAAAGCTTTGTGAGAGTCTATAAATATAAGGCTCCAAGATAAAGAAAGGTCTAGAAAATCATTCTCACGCTCAGACGTTAAACCTCTAATGCTCCCAAACCCCTTAAATTCTCAAACACCTGGAAGCTTCAAAAAGCTCTATGCATTATTCACCACACTTGTGAAGGACCACTAAGCACCCCTACATGTGCTGGTTCCTCCATTGCCAAGAGCCAAAACCACGTGTCATTTGTTCATTCAAGATCAAGAATGAATAACACACACAATTTACATCTTCGGAGATCGAATCAGAGGATTCAAGTTTTGTAAATAGAGATTCTAACCCTAAACCCGAAATTCACTAATACAAATATTATTTTGTAGTGTTATTTGTTGTAGGCATTTCGTCTTTACAAATTTGGCACACCCAAAAATCTTTGCCCCTCATCTCTTTCTCCATTCAAGAAATCCAAACAACCCTCGAAATCAATAGCTTCCAAGAACGGTCAAGTTGCTTTCGCAACCAAGGGAAGGAGCGTCAGGACCTCCGCTGCAAGTGGCGAATCTGTCGGCGTCCCAACTCGGAGCAAGGCAAAGTCGGTGGTCACGCTTCAACATGACACTTCCTACTTGGTGCCGCTAAGAGAGTAGGAGGAGCGTCAGAGGGGCGAGCCTGTCATCACCATAGGCTCGCTAGGGGCACCGAGGCATGCTGCTTACCTGTGTGCGATGCTACCTACCTGCTTGCGGTGTTGCTGGCTTGCAATGCTGCCTACCTGCTTGAGCTGCTGCCACTTAGACTGCTGCTGACCGCTCCCATTATATCTTCTGAATTTTGCTTGCAGCAGCTGCGAGCATTTCTGCGCCTTTGATCTCATCTCTGTGCTCGCTTGAACGGTCTGGATCTCTCAGTCTGCAGGTTACGGACAGAGATCAGAGTGGCTCTCATCATGTTAATATGACTTGCTTTATTAGCATAGAGTTTCGTCATAGCTTATGTAATTAGGTGTTTGCCTTAAAACATCTTTTTCAAAAATGGTCCTTCAAAATAACAACTCGCGGGAAATTTGTTGCATGGTTGGTCGAGATTGGGGATTCGTTCGCAAGCACGCAAATGCAAGGTTTGCAACGGTGATCACTTTGTTGACAACATGATTTCCAGGAGGCGGGAGGCTCTTGTCTAAGACATCGTTCAGTTGTAGAGGTTCGGGTGTTGATGTTAAAGACAATGACAAAAAATAGGAGAGGAGGTCTCCGGGATGCTTTCCCATGATCACTTCTAGTGCTACCACTCCAAAGCTATAAACATCGCATTTCTCGTTCACTTCCATCGTGTATGCTAACTCTGCAGAACAAAGACCAAATCATAATGAATAAAAGCAGGGAATAGTACTCATGTTAACTGGAAAAATTCGTGCAGAAAATAAGTACCTGGAGCACTATATCCAAATGTGCCTGCAAACGAAGTCCAATTTGAAGTCTCAAGATTCAAGAGCTTAGCTGTACCAAAATCAGAGACATAAGCTCTATATTCCAAATCCAGCAAGATGTTCTTACTCGAAATGTCTCGATGTACTATAGGAGGTGAACAATCATGATGCATATAAGACAATGCATTAGCAACATCCTTGACAACATTCACTCTCTCAATCCATCCAAACTTAACTGCATGGTTTTCGTCAGTCAGTATGTTTTCCAAGCTTCCTCCTTCTACAAAATCGTACAACAAAAGAGGGTGTTGCGGATGCAAACAGAAACCATAAAGCTTTAAAATGTTTCTGTGACGGATTTCTATAAGAGCACGAACCTCACTCTCGAAAGCCTTGAGATTTGCCACTCCCCTGTCCTGCAACATGTGAAGTTTCTTCACCGCAACAATTCGGCCTGTTGGGAGCTCAGCTTTGTAAACACTTGCATTGCCTCCCACCCCCACACAATATTTGGAGTTGAATTCCTCTGTGGCTTCAATGATGTCTTCATACTGAAGTCTTCCATCATAGCTCCAAACTGCAAATTGGTCTTCATTTAATTGTGCTTCCCGTGGATAGTAGACCACGCAAAGAATCCCAGTTACAACAAATGCAAAAAAAAGGATGCCTAAAACAAGTAGTACAATGAAGATAACTGATTTGCTGCTCTTTTTCTCCCCTCTTGTTTCAGACGGACAAACATTCAAACCGGTTGCATTGCCACACAAGCCTGTGTTATTCGCAAAAGCTAGAGTCGAAGCCTCGTGGAACGCTTTGTTGTTGGGAAGAGGACCTTCCAAATGATTGTATGACATGTCAACAACTGTCAAGCTCAACATGTTATCGAATGTGGATGGGATCGAACCAGAGAGCTCGTTGTGGGAGAGATTCAAGGCTTCCAATTTCATCAAATTCCCAAGCTGCGGTGGGATTTCACTCATCAGTGAATTTTGACTCAGATCAAGAACTTGAAGAGAGTCTATGCTGCTTATTTCAGGAGGAATGCTGCCACCAAATCTGTTTCTGCTCAAATTCAAGTTCAACAATTCTCTGCACCTGTCTAATTGTTTAGGAATTGGTCCACTGAAATCGTTGGCAGCTAAGTTAAGATGTTGTAGATTGGTTAGCATTCCAATCTCCACAGGAACGCTGCTTGACAGTTTGTTATCACCAAGGTTAAGGTTGAACATTAATGTCAACCCCCCTAGTTCAATCGGGATTGTCCCTGTGAGATTATTTGAAGAGAGGACAAGCACATGCAGCTGCATTGATCTCTCAAACCGTGGAACTGCCCCAGAAATTCTGTTGTTGCTGAGCCTCAAGCTTTGTAAGTTTTGGCACTGGCCCCAGTTCTCAGAAAGCTCCCCATAAAATCTGTTGTAACTCAAATCAACATAAGTTAGTTTTGGATAAATGCCAAACTCTTGCGCTATGTTTGCTGTCAGCTGGTTCCTCTCAAGCCTCAATCGAACTAAGCTGGTGCAGTTCCTCAAGCTTCCAGGCATGAGGCCTGTGAACTGATTGCTGTGTGCTGTAAACGTTTCAAGTACTCCGCCGATGCATATGCCTTGTGGAATGCTGCCAGAAAAGTTGTTGTTGCTCAACCACAACTGCTTCAGAAATGTAAAATTATTCATTTCTGAAGGAAGGGAGCCATTGAGTTTATTATCCACCAATCCTAGATCAGTAATAAATTTGAGCTTTCCTACTTCAGGTGGGATACTTCCACTTAATTGATTCGCCATCAGATATAACACCTTGAGCCTGGTCAGGTTGCCTATAGTGGAAGGAATTGAGCCGGAGAAATTGTTGCCACCAAGGGCCATTGTTGCCACCAAGGGCCAGAAAAGTTAAGCTGGACAGGTTTCCGATTTCTTCTGGAATTGAACCCGTGAGATTGTTTATTCCTACATCAAGCACACTGAGCGAACTCAGCATGCATATTTCTATTGGGAAATTTCCAGATAGTTTGTTGTCATGAAGGGAAAGAGAGGTTAAGTTGCCTAACATTCCAACTTCATGGGGAATGGATCCATTAATGTTGTTTCCGGTAAGATCAAGGGTTCGAAGGCTTTTCAAAAACCCTATCTCCAATGGGATTGTTCCAAAAATCGTGTTGTGGCTCAGGTTAAGGCTCATGAGACTTGGAAAAGATGAGAAACCAAAAGCATGAAGTGTACCTCTTAAGCCAGAAGAAGTGAGGTTTATTTGGGTTATGCTTCCAAAATTGTTACAAGAAATTCCTTCCCAATTGCATGTGCTGTTTCCAATCCATGAAGGCAAGAGAGAGAGGCTTTTGTTGTTGTCAAGGCTAGCTTTCCAATTCCGAAGTGCTTCTGCTTCTGCTTCTTGTCCTGCTGTTGCTGTTGAAGCTGAAGAAACCAACATGAGAATGAGTATAATTGGGATGACTTGAAGTGAATTCTGTGAATAAGCAGCTTTGGGAGAAAGTGCTTTTTCTTCTTTGGATGACATAATTTGAAGTTGTGAGGATTTCTTCATATCTGGAAACCACAGGATGGATCAAGAAGCTCATCTGCCAAATTAAGCTGGTTTTTGTCTTGAGAAAGAGTTTGGTGCTCTATTATATAAAAGTATACTAAATATATTATGTATATGACTTGTGCACAGTGCTGGCACCATTAGGAAAATGCCAACATGTCGTTAGTTATATGATTGAATCACTGTTGGTCATAAATTTATTATAAATTAATACGACACATATTCATTGCAATTAAGAAAGGATTTTAGTTAAGAACATTCATGTTATGAATCTGAGATCACGAGTTCTATAATCTTCTCTAATATCACTTGTATTAAAAGTAGAAAACTAAAACACATTTTAGCATTTCAGCTTTAAAGCATCAAAACGAAAATTGCACATGTAATTTGTAACTCAAGTAGTTTAATCTACATATGGGGTCATGTGCTCGAGTATTGTTGATATAGTTTTTTAAGATAATGGACGAATAAAAATAAACAATATGTGTGAAAGACTAAAAAAATTGTGTATTTTACATTTTTTTTAAATTTAAATATATCCTCAATTGAAGATAACGATATGATCAAGGTCCACGTCCATGATTGATTATTTTATTAATCGCAAGAAACAGGTTTGTTCGTTTCAAGCATAGTATTGCCTTGTCCTCCTGTGAATGCTGAGAAAAGTGTGAACATAAAAAATTCTCGTCGGAAGACCAACCGCTGACTTAAAAAATGTGTGTTGAGGGAAGCGCAGCAGCGTCATCCTATCAGCATACAGACAAGGATTAGGTTCAAATTTTAGCCGTCTAGGAATGGATTTTGTCATTTCACCTTTGACTTTATGTCAACTTAGGTGCCAAATTCGAATTGTCTAACTAATTATAATATAAAGTTTATTAGCATTTGTTGCACCATCTAAGTTACTTCCCGAGTGTGAACTGTGAAATGATTTATGCCAATCAGGTTTTATAAAATTAACCCAGAGAAATTGCTTGGAAGTTTAAATTTTTAGCACATTCAACATGTAGGAGCACGAACTTAGGTGCCAAATTCGAATTGTCTAACTAATTATAATATAAAGTTTATTAGCATTACTTGCACCATCTAAGTTACTTCCTGATTGTGAACTGTGAAATGATTTATGCCAAACAGGTTTTTCAAGTCATGTTATGTTGCTAATAATAAATATTTTACAGAATATAAACAGAATGCAATAATAATTAAGCAGATAAATAGAAGATCGAGGCTTGTGTACTGCAATGTCCTTAAAACAGAAATTTTGTTCATACTCAGTGCGTGTAGTTCTACGGACGTCTGCTTCACCAGGATCCAACGATCAAGTTAAAATTCCAGTACCGGAAAACTTAACTTTGGCGAATTTCTTTGTGGTTCTCTCAGTAAGAATGCTTTGGATTGTAGAAGGAGAATTATGTTTTTTTGTGTTCTAAATGTCATGCAGATGGATATATATATATAATATGATTATGCATGTTTGCAACAGGTATGGTGAAGGGATGCATCTGTTGGGAGACATCTTCTCAGAGAGGTGTTTGCTCTCTGCGTTCTTTCACCACACTTTAGACTTCATCTGAAAAATGAGTCTGTTGGTAAAAAAATAATTAATTAATTAAATTCGAAAATAATTAAAGATAATTAATTAAATTATATAATTAATTAAATAATTTAATTATTAGAGCATGAGCCCCAAGGCTCATGGCCCATCTTTTAATAATGAATTATCTATTAGTTATCAATTAATTAGTACATTCCAAAGCCTAATTCCAAAGGTGAGCTCAATTTTATTCTCTAAGGTCCATCACTCCAATCACTTTCTATAAGGGACAAAGCCTTATAAAGTGAGGAAACATTTTGACAATGACCAATATAGAATAATGAAATTTCTACTCAAAATTTCCAACAAGACAATCATAACGTGCAAACCCGGCAACAAATATGTTAGGGCATAACTTAAGATTGTTTAAGAGCTAAGTTTCCGGTTTTTAAATAGAATTTGAAGAGAAATTTGTACGAGCGTCACATGATTAGACTTGGAGGACAGTCCAATAAAAAATTATAATGTTGTCACACATAGAGCCAAATGAACCAAAATGCAAAGGAAAGGTGGGTATGTTCATAAGAGTGAGGATAGAGATAGGGCCCATTGCCCAAATGAAGCCCCACTGCACAAATGAAGTTGTTCCTCTATCCATGAGCTCTTAACAAATGGCATCAAAGCTATAGGTTAAGTGTAACATGCAATGCGCCAAAGTCCACATAACGAGCAGCTTAGTCATCTCCAACCGAAATGGTTAAACTTAATCGCGTTCAGAATTATAGCTCTATTGAAATTTATTGTAAAATGAACAGTATCAGGCCATAATCATGTCTTCTCCACTCAAAGAAGCAAAACATAGCCCCTCAATAATTTATTAGTTTTAAGCTTATATTTTAAATTTATTAATTAATTTAATTAAACTACTATTAGATGTTTTTAAATCTAGCCGTATAGTTTGTATTATAATGATTAATGTTATGTATGGGTATAATATCGAATGATTCAATACAGGTTGTTGAATGAGTCACCTCAAGGTGAGAAACGGTTTACTGCCGGGTTAGAGTCAATAGAGGAGGCCAGAACATGGGTAATGAAAGCATGGTGGAAAATATATCTTGTGTTGTGTGACCTTTTGCCCAACTCGAACACAATCTATTTGACTAAAAATGTATGAGAACTATAACCACAAACACGATACCTATCTCTTTGGTGATCCAGCGACATCACTTTTTTGGGATTATTCCAAGTTCTACGCATGAGTTTGAAAATAATGTGATCCGATCTTTCATAATTTTATTTCTTCTTCCACAAACTTCTGCTTATACGTCAATCTTTGTGTCGTTATTTGTTAACGCTCAAAATTTTTTGGTTAACAAACTAGAACAATTGACTCTTGATGGATTCGTGTTTAAAGCTATGAAAATAATTGACTCAAGATTTTAAGTGGTTAAACTCTCAAACTGGGTACATCAACAGTGGCGCTTGGAATATATATTGACTTGATGATTGCAAGAAGCACTCGGCTATAGACACGTTACAAACCCCCCCCCCCCCCCCCCAAAAGGCCTTCAATGAGCCCAACAAAGTCATGGGCTCACCTACTTTATTATTCTGGCATTAAATGAGCTATCTATGTAAACTGGCATGCTAACTATCATTTCGCACATCAGTTGACAAGTGGCGATGAGGTGATGGTAGCTCAACTGGGATTACATATTTTTTTGGGCCAACGCATACTGATCACTAAGCTCGGCCTTGACTAGTCAATGATTTTCCTTTCGAACAATGGTTCGGGAGCCTTACATCCCTTCATAGGTTTCTGTCTTCGTTGGTGACCGACATGTGGCCTAGGTTAGTGTCTAAGTAGGCTTGTTCTTGGAGTTTTGTGCCCTAAAGTTGTTAGTTTGCCCACATGCTTGTATCGGTTGAAAAGTGCTTTATGCTATTTAGTCATACCAGACTTGCGAACGATCGATCATAGTGCTCAAAAATGCCTCTTTTTAAATTCACTTGGCCTTGATCTTCCTTGGGCTTTTCTTAACCTTTTTCTCAGCATGTACTATTTTAAGTGCCAAAAAGCCCCCTGCATAAACAGTCGTATTTATCAAAATTAGTATATACAAAATATCAGTCACCTTTAGTCAAAGGTTAAATTGGAATGGCCCAAAAATTTCAACTTCAATTGTTGTGTTCTCTTTTCCCATTTGTGAAGCCAGATTGTGTTAAAGATTACTCACTCCATTGGGGGGGAATGTTGTATTTTCTCTCATTGGTTAAAATATTGTAAAACCAAAAGCACGATTGGGACTGGTAAATGTTTTTATTCCAATATATCAACAATACGCTTCACCCCATGGGAATTGGGAAAATATGAACAAATTTTAGAACCGGTTACAAACTTTTAAGCAATAATGCAGTTGAGAGACACTAATCAGACAATATACATAAGCCGTATACAAACAACAGTATAATGCCCTCCAAGTTCTTGAAAGAAATTACTATACGGTCAAAGAAAGCGAAATAAGTTACGGTTCAATACACAATCTTAAGTTTGTGGGAAATATTTGATGCAGATACTAAGGAAATTAAACATTGTTCACAAGATGTCCCAAGGTGATCTTATCAAATGAGAATGGTAAAGAAGCCCTTGGAATATTTGTTAGCTCCTGGGAAACTTGTTGCATGGTTGGCCGAGATTGTGGGTTGGCTTGCAGGCATGAAAAAGCAATCTTCACAACAAACGCCACTTTGTCTGCAACTTGATCTCTTGGAGTTGAAGGTCTTTGTTCCAAAACATCCGTCAGCAGTGTATTAAGCACGGTTGATGTTGTCGAGGACAGAACTGCGATCATGAGATCTCCCGGATGCTTTCCCATGATCACTTCTAAAGTTGACACTCCAAAGCTATAAACATCACATTTCTCATTCACCTCCATTGTGTATGCAAACTCTGCAAACCCAACAAGCAACTCAAAACTCTAGTCCAAAAAAAAAACAAAACCAGGGACGCAACTGTTATTGCATTCGCCTAGATATTATATGGTTACCGTGACAAATTATAACAACCGGAAAACTACCTGGAGCAGTGTATCCAAATGTGCCTGCAAATGAAGTCCAATTGGAAGAGCCAGGCTTCAAAATTCTAGCTGTGCCGAAATCAGAGACGTAAGCAGCATGTTCCAAATCCAGCAAGATGTTCTTGCTTGATATGTCTCGGTGAACAATTGGAGGCAAGCAGTCATGGTGCATGTAGGATAAAGCATTTGCCACGCTTTTGACAAGGTTAATCCTTGAAATCCATTCAAACATAGTTGCTTCGTTGTCATTGTTTCTTCTAAGCTTCCCCCTTCCAGAAACTGGTAAACCAAGAATGAGTGCCGTGGATGTGCGCAAAAGCCATAGAGCTTCACAATGTTGCGATGGCGGATTTCTGAGAGAGCATGAATCTCTCTTAAAAGCCTTCGGATTTGCTATCCTACCCTCCTGCAGAGTATGAAGTTTCTTCACTGCAACAATCTGGCCTGTTTGCAACTTAGATTTATAAACATTTGCATGGGCCCCTGCTCCTACACAATGTTTAGAGTCAAATTCCTCTGTAGCTGCAACGATGTCCTCATACATCAATCTTCCATCATAGCTCCAAATTGTAAAGAGATTTTCTGTTTGTGTTTCTCTTTGCATTTGCTGTTCTCTTACAGTCTGGTGCGGGCGCCGAATGGAGAGAATCCCAACTACAATGAACCCAAGAAACAGAATTCCTGAAATGAGGGCTGCAATTATAATGATGTTATTATTGTTCTTTTTCGTGTTTCTTATGGTAGATTGGCACGGCTTCAGGCCAGTGGCATTACAACAAAAGCCCTTGCTATTCTCTAAAGCTTCGACTGGAGCCTCGTTGAAGTCTTTGATGTTCGGAAGAAGACCCTCCAGTTGATTGTAGGATACGTCAATAGCAGTCAAGTGTAACATATTACCAAAACTGGATGGGAAGGAACCAGAGAGCTCATTGTGAGACAGATTCATTGCTTCTAAGCTCTCCAGTTCTTCAAACTGCGGCGGTATCTCTCCTCTAAGTGATTTATGACTGACATCTAGAACCTGAAGAGATTGTAAGCTCCCAATCTGAGAAGGAAGACTCTCTATGAATCCATTTACGCTCAAATTTACGTTCAGTAACTTTGAGCACTGATATAGTTGCTCAGGATATTGTTTGCTGCCATGTTAATTTCTTAAAGATTGGATAACATTCCAATTCCCCACGGAATACTGCCTGAAAGTTCATTACCACCCAGGTTAAGATCAAACAGTGATACTAATCTCCCCAGTTCCTTTGGAATAGTCCCAACTAGATAATTTGAGGAGAGGTCAAGTACTCGAAGCTGCACCGCTTCCCCAAGCTGAGGAGGAATACCTCCGGAAATTCTGTTTTGGGAGATTTTCAAGCTTTGCAGACTTTGGCACTGCCCCCAGTTCTGAGAAAGTTCCCCATAGAAATTGTTATGGCTCAAATCAATGTAATTTCAGTTTGGATAAACACCAAGGTCTTCGGATAGGTTTCGTGATAACCGGTTTCCATCAAGCCTCACTCTGTACAAACTGGAGCAATTTCTTAAACTTTTCGGGACAGAGCCAATGAAATAATTGTCATTTGCTGTAAAATTTACAAGTAGTCCACTAGAGCAAATGTCTTGGGGAAGATAGCCAGACAACATGTTGCTGGACACCCCCAAGTTTATCAGATTTGTAAGATTCTTTAGTTCTCGAGGAATGGTGCCACTAAGATGGTTTATGAACAATCCTAGTTTGGTAAGCAATTTGAGCTTTCCAATTTCTGGTGGTATGTGGCCAGTCAATTGGTTTTGCTGCACATCTAATAAGGTAAGCTTGGTCAGGTTTCCGAAAGTTGAAGGAATGGATCCATAAAAATTATTCAGAAGAAGCGCTAAAATCGTCAAATTGACGAGGTTTCCTATGGATGGAGGAATCGAACCTTCATTTGCAAGTGCTGCTGGTTAAGAGATTTAAGATTTTCCTACTGAACTGTTCCGGTGAGTTTATTTTGGTACAAGTATAGTGCGGACAAGTTGCCCAACTTCCATAGGGAGGCTGGGATTGGACCCGTGAGGCTGTTTCTGCCCAACCCTAGCTTTTGGAGTGAGCTGAGTGATCCTATTTCTTGAGGAATTGATCCATTTATGCCATTATCATGCAGATAAAGCACGTGAAGACTCGTCATCAGGCCTAATTCAGATGGTAATATTCCAGCGAGTTGATTTCTACTCAAATCAAGGTTGATGAGACTAGAAAGGTTAGCTATGCCGGAGGAAATATGTCCATAGAAAGAGTTGTGGCTGAGATCAAGACTTAGTAGAGAAGGGAATGACGAAAAGCTGAAAGCATGGAGTGTACCTCTTAAGCCGCTGCTCCTGAATTCATTGCAAGCTATTCCTCTCCAGCTGCAAGGACTTCTTTCCGAACCACGAAGACATAAGAGATTGCCTTTGGTTGTCAAGGCTATCCTTCCATTTTGGAAGAGCCACCGCTTCTCGTCCTTCTGTTGCTGTTAAAGACACAGAAGTTGCTATTTCCACAGAAGAAATCGAAACATGGGTCATGACGACAGGGATGAACAAGATTCGGAACATGTTGATATTACAATGGAGAATTTTATCTACCATTGACATGATCATCTGTTTTTGTAGATTTTCCGGTTTTAAATTGTAATGTATTTCATATATATTCATTGTACAAGAGGCCCAAGTATATATGAAAGAGGGGAGGAGAAGGAGAGATGGAGATGGCTACAAGCAGCCGACAGGAACCATGTGACCAGACAAACTTAGGTGCCTAATCTAATTCTTAAATCAAGGGAAGAGAGCTGCTTACAAGTTGGCCTTGATAGCTGACCCTAGAGAAGACACCCTTGTTTTTAAGATCTGAGGATGGTTTTGTTCTTGGACGTTCCTGATATTCGAGTTGAAGACACGGAGGACTGAGCAACAATGAGGTTCGATATCCAGTTATGACCACAGCACCAACGAGGATTTGCATTCAATCGGTCGCTCAACCATCCTCCTCTTGCACGCTCCAGTGATGGCTCCAGACACCGCCATGCTCACTATATATGCTCTTCAATTTATTTCACAACCCCCAGCACATTTTTTTTAACAAACGATAGCGTTAGTGGGTTGAATTGCTAATTGTTAGTTCTTTTTTTTTTTTTCACGAAGCAAAGGTTAAAATATTACTCAATTTACTGGAGAAAGCTGGAGAAAGAAAATAAATATTTTCTCATTGCTTTGACTCAAACTAACAAGATCACTAGGACCGATGGAAGAACTTTGTTTTTGAATTATATCGATAATAATTCTTACAGCGGTGGCGGATGTTTCACACACTGCTTGCCGTCAGGCAACAGCCTATGACTGGTGGGCTTTAACCCTCTCTTAAACCTATGATTCACAAGGGCTGTTTCCAGTTTCCTCACCTGCAATTGTTACAAGTAAATGTTCAGAGACAAATAACAGAAACTTTAGACCTTTAATTCCGAAAACATAAAAACATAAACTATAGCGTAGATACAATCCAAAGTATATAATACAAAAAAAAGTCTAAATTCTGAAGAAATAAAAATTCATGTATTTTGCATCATCCTTGCCCAAGGTACAAATCTAAAACAACGCAACAGCCTAGCCACTTTACTAAGATGGTGACCGTTGCTGTGCCATATTCCAAAGGGGTTCCCATGTCAAGATTGGTAGTTTTATAAGGTGTCTTTGAAGTTTGTGTGTGATTACAAGTCTGAAGTGGACATGGCAGAAAACTTGGTCGGAATGTATCTCAGGCAACACCAGTGTTAGATGAATCCGTCTAGGCAGTTTTTTAAGGCCTTTGCGCCATTGTTATTTCTAAAGAACAAGATTCTGAGTCCTTGATTCCCCAAGAGGGATGCTTTTCCATTATTTGAAGTGGCTTTCTGTTTGCATGGTCTGTTTTCAAATCACTCTCAAATTGGCACAAATTGGGCAGAATGACTCATGACAAGTTCGGAAATTTGGGAGCTGCTCATTTGCGCTTGTTTGAGTGAACTTGCAGAACCTAAAAGTCAAACTTTTGAAAGGTGAGACCGCAAGACATTCTCGTATGAGTCCGAAGAATCTTTTTTTTTTCCTTTTGAAGTCTACACTATTGGATGGTCCTTTTTATTCTTTCTTTGGGGTGATTTGTTTAGTTTGATTTTCCCTCCTTATCTTCTTCATATTTGGTTTGCTACAACCTGGGTTTTTCCACCATCCCTACCCTACAAGACAGCTCATAAGAGGATTCTGTACTATCCTAAATCACAAGGATAAAAGTATGGACAAATGAAGGATAACTACTGACACCACAAACTAGGCATTTCCCAAATTAAGCTTAGCAGACTGATTTTTCGTTTCCTCAATTCAGGAAGAGCCAACCATTTGCACCAACTGCCTCATCAGATATTATAACATCTTTTGTTTGGAAAAGAGAAAATGACACAGCATTCACTTTCAGAGTACGAAAAGTATTTTGAGAAGAAACAAAACCAACCTGCCTAACAATGAACGGTTCCTCGTTGAGACTCAACGGTTCGGTTAAAATAGTTAGAAATCCATTTTGATTACCATAGACAATATCAGTTAAGGGCCGATCACCCACCTGCAACAGACGAAAATATCCCATGAGTCATTTAGTCATTGTAATCCAGACAAAGATCAAATTAAACAATCCAAGATGTCTATGAATCTTATCTACCATAATAAGGTGTGACGATTTACAACCAAAATGCTTCTCGATCTCTTCAGCTGTTCCGGCAGGTTTCTTCACTCCTATAACATAAGATAGAAATACCCACATCAATAGGACATAAGCTCTGTAATTCCTATGAAAATTTGTATTTAACCAACCTGCCATTTTCAAATGGAGTTTGGTATTTAAAAAGGTAAAAAATTCAAAAACTTTGCAGCACAAATAAAGAAATAACAAAATACTTACTATGTCTTATGACTTTAATTCCAATAGCCCCTTCAAGTTCCCTAGCTCTTGAACCATCATGGTCATACTCATAAAGCCCTAACCATGAAACCAAAATCTTTACTTTGACAAATAAACATAACCAACAACAAAACATCAAATTTTCCAAATGGGTTCTGCCAAAAATTACCAGCCGAGTTACTGAATACCGCGATATCAGGTCCAAAAACGGATTTGCACTGCTCCAATGAAGACCCAAGAGGACCCCAAAGCGTCAAGGAATAAGGTGCAGTGATAGTATTATCCTTATCAAACACAACACCCTTGAAACCCCTTCTATGCAACTCAGGCCAATCAATGTACCTTATATCAGGCACAGAAACATGAGGCAGCACCAAGTGCTTGTCTTTCGTGAGCACCATGGCTGAACGAACCATGGCTCCAAAGTTGAACCTTTGTCCCAATGCGGCTTTCACGTCTGCCCACCACATGTTTGTCGAAAGTCCCTCGGAATTATCGGCTTCGCTCTCTCTTTGATCTCGCCCTCGTTTTTCGTTTGGGGCTTCTGGGCTTTGGTTACCGGCGTCTTCGGTGTCTCCTGAGGGGTTCAATTGCAGAAACAACATATCGTTCTGATAGGGGTCGGAATCGCCATTGATGTGCTTCTGGCTCTGGTTCTGGTGCTCTCTGCTGCAACTGTGGGTGTGAGAGATGGAAAGGGCGCAGTGGTTGGTGCAGTGGGTTTGGGGTTTAGGGGGGAGGAGAAGGAAGTTGAGGGTTTTGCGAGGGTTTCGATGGTGGAAGTGGAAGTGGAAGTGGTTAAGGGAGAGAGGGTTAGAGCATTTTGGCAATGGAGCTGATGAGGTCGACTGCATTTCTACTTGTTAGTTTTTAGGGATAACACGATGTGTGTCATTCTTAATGGATCTTAGGGACACTTGGTTAGCCACAAAAGCCCAAAAGGCTGTGCTGCCAATCAATGTGAGAGCCCATACAATGCTACCCACTTCTTTTCTTTTATTTTTTGTTAATTACACATTTAGCCCATGAATTTTGATGATTTTAACTTTTTTTTTTTTTTTTTTTTTTGGTTAAACGACTGATTTTGTTAGGTTAAAGGCTAGAGATTAACCATCGATAAAATTTGAACCCACATCATCATGCAAAGCTCAACTCCCTTCCAGTATTGTTGTAAATGGCCACTTGCTTTGATGATTAACTTTTTATTTTATTTTTTTTTTCCAAGTAACTCCCTATATGCCAGTTGAAATGAAACTTTTAGAAAGGACCACACAATGTTGATTATATATCTATCAATAACGAAACCTTTCAAAGAAACATCAAAGTGCCTAAAACCATTAAGAGACGAGATATAATGAAAATAAGATGTTTTTTTTAACGAATATAACATGTACATAAACGACCATTTATGGATTGAGTGAATTGGATCCCATCCGGATTCAAATTGTGGGGATTTTAGGAATCTTCACATCTTAGTCATTCATCGTGTATCATGTGGTCAGAAATCATTTGACTTTTTTTATTTAAAATTAAACAAAAATAATACCTGACAAAAATTGACCACATGATATATGATGAATATCTAGGATATGGGAATACAAAGTGGATCCGGAGAGGTCTTCTTCCTGGATAGAGTACTCGAAAAAAAAAATATATATTTGAAACATATTTTAGTCAAGTCAATAACCACCAATTTTCTTGAGATGGAAAGGCAATTTTAGTGCCAATTAAGAAAACAACTGCAAACCAGATTGACAATTTTTGTTTGGTTGATTTGTTCATTTGTTCATTTTTCAGCATGAAAGACAAAAAAACTACTATAAACCCGCTAATGAACACTTCCTCGATATTGTTTGGAGAAAACTCAAATATTATCAATTTATCGATTAATATGAAGTACTTTATTCCAGAATCTTAATTCAGTTCACAATGAAAGAGTAAAAAAAAAAGGGACACTTTGGATGCGGTCCCTAGCTATCAATATTCTTTGATTGAAACCTTGTTAGTTTTTAGTTGTTGATTGACGTCCCTGACATTAATGTAATAATGTAAGTTACTATATTTTTTAAATTAAAAATTAAAAATTGAAATTTGTAATTGTTTATATTGATGAGATTTTAAATAAAACCCATAATTTATGGGATTAAAAATAATAAAATATAAATTACACTCTCTATTATATTGTGTGTGTGTGTGTGTGTACATATATGTATGGGTACATTAACCAAAATTAACAAAAAAAGTTATTGTACCAAAACATGGATATATTCTCAAATCAACGAAAAAGAATGTACCCATATAAGTTTAAACATGGATTAAAAAATTTGAATGGATTTTATATTAAAAAAAGGGTACATTTTACATATAACAAATTGATATATTTGAGAATGGGTACATTTAAGATTAAAAAAATTGAAAAATTATATGAATGGGTACATTTAAGATTAAAAAATTGAGAATCTTTTTATACATAAAAAAAACTAATAGGTACAAACTTAATTTAATTTAATTTTTTATTATTTTGGAAATGTTTGAATTGAAAATTAATTAGAAGTTTAATAGAGGTGTGAGTATTAAACCCTAAATTAATTACTAATTTTTATATTAAAAAATTATATAATAAACATGTAAATTCATTATCACATTAATGCTAGGGACTTGAATCAAAATTTGAGAACTAATAAGGTCTTAGTCAATGAACAATAAGAACTAGGGACCGGATACTAATTTTTCCAAAAAAAAAAACATGCGAAAATAATGTCACATTAGACAATCTTTATTTGCAGAAGGAAGAAAGAATGTATCATAAATTGAAGCTAATTACACAAGTGAATGCTGCACATCAGAGAGGGGAATATGTGATGATCTGTGGCAAGATATTTGGATCTTTAGAACCTTGATCTTCTGCATTCAGCTGGGAGGCCTTGCGGGAAGCGTTTAAGGTCACTGCAGTAGTTGTAGACCATGAACTTCTGTTGCACCCATCGAAGCCGGTTACGGCCGGCTGCATCGAGCCCTTGAGTCTGCCATGCACTGTCCCCTACTGAACTGGTAGATGCAGTGGAGGCACAGGAGGATGATGAGCCAGCAGTACAAGCATCGGCCTTGAAGTTTCTGTAAGAGGCGGTGAAAGGAGCTTGAGTCCAATCAGTCTTGACAAGGCCACCTCTTGTTGCCCAGTCATCTGCATTCCACAGGCTTGAGTAAATCCTCATGGGCTGGCTTTTAGGGAATGGGACACCAACTGATTCCAAGTTGTTGAACACTCTAATTGGAATTTTATCCACCAAAAATCTGCATAATATTTGCACAGGTATTAGAAAGTGTCTAAAAATAACTAGTTATGTTCTCAGCACGCTCTCTCACGTGAGTGTATGCATGTAGTACTTACATAATACGTTGCGCGTTCCAAACAATGGAGTAGGTGTGGAAGGCCTTTGTGGGATCAAACCAAAGATGGAATTGTTGTTCTCTGTTTCCTTTTCCTTGGCTGAACACATTGGTATGGAGAGTGTAGGGATCCCCAGATAGGTTTCCCAAAACTCAAAGTCGATTTCGTCATGAGTAGGACCTTCAGAAGATAACTGAAAAATATACATTTTTGTTTCACAAATTAGCAAAGCAACTATACATAATATATCTATACAATTACAAGCATACAAATTAATAAGAGGGTATATATATATGTAGTGTAGTACGACTTACATAGTAGGCAGTGACAGTTCCCGCTGAGTTGCCTGAGACGAGCTTGATCTGCATGTCAATCCTTCCAAATAAGTACTCGTTCTTGGACTTGAAACCGGAGCCGGATGTCTGATCAAGGTTAAGAGTGAGGAGTTGTCCTCCGTTGAGTATCTTGGCACGTCCGTCGCCGAATGTAACGTCAAAATCTTGATAGAAATTGCCAGCCGAGGCAGCCATGGCCATGACACAAGTTATGAATAAAGAAAGAAGCACCACCATTGAGAGCTTAGAAGAATAAGACATTTTGATTGCTTTAGAGAAGAATATAAAACTGTTTGTGTTTTGATGATATAAATTTGAGTTGTGACCCCCTTATATATATGTTGGAGACCTTCGAGAGCGAGTAGAATAAAGTATTCCGCGTGAATAAAGCTGGCATTGTTTAGTAATTCAAAGTTTATATGTTGGCAAATTATTAGGTATGGGGTATATGATATGATTTTGTTCTCCGAAAATTGACTTGTTGCTAAATCCCCCAACTTGTGTTAAAGCTGGACACAGGTTTGCAAATTCAGGCAATATGCATGGGAACAAAAAAGAAATAAATTAAAGTAGGAACTAGGAAGTAAGGAAACTAGGAATCTTTGTGAGTTTATAGCTTGTGGGGCATGTTATTAGTTGGTCGCGTTGAAGCTAAAACGTGCACGCATGCGATGAGTAATTTTTGGGTTAATCCACTTAATTATGTCATAATGCATACATATAAAACAATACTATACCTTAAAATATAAACTAGTTATTTATAGAAGTTAGAAAATAAATAAAATAAAAATTAGGCTTCATTTAGCAATTTCTTTATGGGCAGTGATTTATCCATTTAACTCTTTTTTTAGAAAACCTATTTATGCATTTAACTTTGTGAAAGCATGCAAAGTTAAAATAGTCTCATCGAAAAAGGAAAAATCTTGCATGTGCGTATATAAGAAGTTAGACTACTCGCTCATCTTATTAATTGGTTTTATTGTGAAACTTTAATTTTATTCACCCATTTCGCCTTTTACACTCCCTTTGCTTTCGAGTCATTATTGAATGAATGAATTATTGATAAAATAAAAGTGGAAAAATGCATATAAGGCCAAAAAGTACATAAATCACTTCTCTTTCTACCATATTACACTATGTTTGTGTAGGTAGTTGGGTGTTTAAGCCTTTAAAATCCACCTAAGTGGAATGCATTAGATGGTGGAGATACGTTTTTTGATCTTCATTATCAAATGAACCATTTTAGTCCTCTCACAACTCTTTTGACCTATATGTTTTTTTTTTAAAATACTTTGACCTATATGTTTGAAAGATTATAAAAATCTGACTAAATAATGTGAACTTTACAAGCTTGGACAGCTTTTACGTTTGATTATTAACCAAAGACAGAAACTTCTATGTTTGATTATTTCCTGGTTATTTCTTGTGACCCGAATCAGAACTTTACTTTGCATCAAAATAAAAATCACGTGACCATGCATATATATCATGATTTATCTAGAAACCGTTAGCATTTGATGATTTGAAAATTGAAAGGAGTAATATCCAGCCCATGCATTACTGCATATTTCACTTGTAGCAACAGCTAGCAGTATCTGTAACTGTAAGTGATGTGGTTTAGTTTGTCGCAACCTAAACTTTTACGTTTGCCATGCAGGTACTAGTTTTAGTTGCTCCATATATACCTACAATTTGAGTATTTTGATTCTGCATGTTATTCACAAATGTGAACTCGTTGTTAGGTGCACAACCCTGTAGGTTGGTAGCTTAAAAAACAGAGAGAGAGAGAGAATGCGTACGCGTAGTCGCAAACATTACCACCGAACGCGCATATACTTATTTAGTCCGTATGTTCCAAAAAGAATTTGGATGTTATAGTGCTGGTGTTGTTTGTTTATTTTAATGTGATAGTATACAACATGGTTAATTTTTAATGAATTGAACCACCACAGGGTGGCTCGGGTGAGGGACGGATTTCAAGCCCGTATTTCACACAACACATCCTTGAGTTCGACTCTTGACACTGGTGAATCACATGATAGTGGATAGGGGAGGCTGAAATGCCTCTATAAGTCTTCTCGGCCCCCCAAAAGGGTGAACTGCCATGGCAAAACCACTAGCTGGTCCCTTTTAAAAAATAAAAATTTATGAACTGGATTATATTCTAAATACATCAATGAATATAGGTTTAGTTGCGATCTCTGTCCCGAACTGTTATAAACTTAAACCTTATGCATTTTAGGTTTTTTATTGAAATCCCTCTCCTGCCACATAAATGACATAATAATAAAAGAGATGCAATAATACCAATAAATACTCAACTTTTTTATTTATTTTTTTTGCTTTCATTTACACTACCAATTCAATTATTATCAAAATTGCTTATGGGTTTTGATAAAAAAAATAATAATAATTGTTTATGGGTGCATTCTAGATTATTAAAAATGGAATTTTATTTTATTTTATAAAATATGAGTACATTTATATTATAAAATTTGGCTACATTTTACATATAAAAAATTAATACACTTATATAAAAATATGGGTACATTTTACATACAAAAAATTGATACATCACATTTTATATAACCAAAAATGGGTACGTTTTATATAAAAAAACAATGGGTAAATTTTATACAAAAAAACAATGGTACATATTAGATTAAAAACATAAATACATTTTGCATTAAAAAATGGGTACATTTTACATTAAAAAATGGTACTTACAAAAAAAAAAAGGATACGTTTTGCATATAATAAAGTGGTACATTTGTAAAGAAAATTGAGTACATTATAAATAAATTATGGGTACAAATAAAGGGTTAAAAAATTATGAGTACAAATAAAAGTTTTAAAAATAAGGGATAAAAAGAATTAATATATGGGTACAAATTAAAATTTAAAAGAAAATTGGTACAATTTAAAAATAAAGAAAGTTGCAAATTAAAAATGAGTACAAACTAGAAATAAAAATATATGATAAAAAGTTTAGCCATAAATATAATTATATTAAATGTAACGTTTCTAACACTAAATGAATATATATACAAATAAAATTTAATTATCTTGACATGTAAATATTTTATTTTTGAAATAATTAATGACGTTTATTAAAACCCAAGGACCTTTATAAAAAATTAAAAAGAAATAAGATTTTAATCAATGAAGTAAAAAAATAAAGATAAGAACCTAATTTCTCCATGAATATATAACATGTTCGACAACTATCTAACGAACAATTAATATATTATTTGAATACTGTCAAGTGATGCAACTAAGATAATAAATTGGTTACAGCAGAGTTTCTATCCATTGACTTAATTGTAAGTGTGAATCCAACGTCACCGCAACTTAAATGCTTCACAAAGCTATCATATAAACCTGACCCGTTTTCGTATGCTGCTTCCTGCCTACCTAGTCAGACAGAAATTCCAAACCTGTGTCCAGCTCTAAAGTTGGGCACCACCGAACGCAAAATCAAATAAAGTTTGCGTACAGAATCAGCTGCCAGCTGCTCTTTTTGTTCAACGCGGCAGAAGGTCTCCCACCACACACACACACACATATATATAGGACTTTAAAACTTGAATTACACCATCAAAACAACTTCTTCACAATATCATCTCTCTCTCTCTCTCTCTCTCTCTCTCTCTCTCTCTCTGTGCGCGATTTTCACCAAATCATTAGAATGTCTTCTTGTACGGTACCAATGAATATGGTGTTTCTTCTTTCTCTGTTCACAACTTCTCTAATGGTCATGACCGCCTCAGCTGGTAATTTCTTTCAAGACTTTGACATTACATTTGGCGACGGACGTGCCAAGATACTCAACGGAGGACAGCTTCTCACGCTCAACCTTGATAAGGCCTCTGGGTCTGGCTTCAAGTCCAAGAATGAGTACTTATTTGGAAGGATTGACATGCAGATCAAGCTCGTCTCCGGCAACTCAGCTGGAACCGTTACTGCCTACTATGTAAGTACTAGTACTGCTCTCATAATAATATCCTTTAATTCTAACTATATATTCCATAATTGCTTTGCTAATTTGTTAAACAAATTGCATATTTTCAGTTATCTTCTGAAGGTCCAACCCATGACGAGATTGATTTCGAGTTTTTGGGCAACTCAACTGGTGAACCCTACACTCTCCATACCAATGTCTTCAGCCAAGGAAAAGGGAACAGAGAACAACAATTCCATCTTTGGTTTGACCCCACAAAAACCTTCCACACATACTCCATTGTTTGGAACTCGCAGCGCATTATGTAAGTACTACATGCATGCCTTCATCTTTAACTAATTTCTTTAGGTCAGAATCCATGTCACACACAAGGGGGCGTGTGGAGAGTATCACCAGTTATTTGCAAACACTTTCTAATACATGCGTGTGCAAATTTTATGCAGATTCTTGGTGGATAACATTCCAATCAGAGTGTTCAACAACTTGGAATCAGCTGGAGTCCCATTCCCTAAAAACCAGCCCATGAGGATTTATTCAAGTTTGTGGAATGCAGATGACTGGGCAACAAGAGGTGGACTTGTCAAGACTGATTGGACTCAAGCTCCTTTCACCGCCTCTTACAGAAACTTCAAGGCCAATGCTTGTACTGCTAGCTCACCATCCTCCTGTGCCTCCACTACATCTACTAATTCATTGACAGAGCAGAGTGCATGGAAAACTCAAGGGCTTGATGCCGCAGGCCGAAACAGGCTTCGTTGGGTGCAACAAAAGTTCATGGTTTACAACTACTGCTCTGATCTTAAACGCTTCCCACAAGGCCTCCCAACTGAATGCAAGCGATCGAGGTTCTAGTTTGAAAGCGAGAAGAAACCCAGATGACCATATATCCGCTCGTCTCATGTGCAGCATATTCATTTATTTGTGTTCCAAATTCATTTATTAAATATTATTCTTTCATTCATTGAGCAAATATAAACTTTGTATCACCATAGTCTGCATTGTTGAACTGAATTGAGTTCTTGAATCAAATAATTTATACTTACCAAATGATAATCGTCTAATTTCTTCAACAAGATCAGTAATCCTTTGACAACAGCATCAATGTGGAAAACTTGTAGTTGCTTAGCTTTCTTATTCATTATTCATATATAGCTAAATATGACAGGACTAGTTCTTTCTGTTGTACAAACACTTTTTTAACAGGATATTGTTATCAATGGACCATAATGAACACACAAACAATCAACCAAACCAGAGAGTAAACATACATGAAGACAAAAATTTATAGAGGTTTGCCAACAAGTGTGCGTCTTGTCTTGTGTTCACCTAGACCCTATTGTCCATGAAAATTGTGGTCAC